GGGGGGGGGGGGGGAGTATTTTTCTGGATTCTTTAATTAATAGCTGAGATAGTGAAAATTTAATAAAAAGGGATTTATTTGAAATATAAACCTTTTGTAATTATACATGTCAATTTTAATCAAATTTAATCACATTGTTGCTGAATAAAAGTATTAATTTCTTTCCAAAATAAAAGTCCACAAAATGTTCAAGACATTTGGTATTCTGTCTTTTATTGCATATTGTTGTTGAAAGTATGTCAAATATGTATGTCACTAAAGTAAAGTTATCCAATATGGATGAGGTTTTGTAAAAAAAAAATATTTTTAAGTTTTAAAGGCATTGTTTAAAATTGGTTGAAAACTAAAAACAAACCTCTATATGCCATAGTCCTTCAAAACTGTGCTAAATTTATAATTCATGAAATAATAATAAAACTGTCATGAAGTGAGTAGCATTATATCTGTGTAATGTGTGGCTATTTCTTTAAAAAAAAAAAAAAAACGTCTGCCTTAATAAAATTAATATTATGATTTAAATTCTAAATATAATAAATATAAAAATGCATATAATATAGTTATTTCTCAAATAAATTAATAAATAAATGAATTAATATTGATTATAATTAATAATGAGAGGGTCAGTTAGTGCACACATGAACACAGTTATGTCTGAATTCTGTTTTACCGCATTGTGCAACTCTGTTAAGTGTCTCCACACATACCTGGAAGCAGCCCGTGCAGGTGTGTGGACCAGATGGGGCGTTTGTCACCCCTCTCTCTGTGCTCAGTATGCCTGTGAACAGATCCAGATGTGCCTTTGCTTTTTTCTCTGGTCATCTGGAATTGTCTCACATACACATTTTAAGACTCTGCTTAGGATTTTACTGAGGAAATGCTTTCAATTTTGTCAGACAAATTTATTAGAGTTCCGCTTTCAGTAAAGTTCACTCTTAGGTTATCTCAGTCTTAAATACTCGATATGCTTATGCCATTAAATACATTTCCATGCATACTGAATTCATTTTAATATCTGTGTGTGATGTTCTGATTTTTCTGCGTTTGCAGACTTCTGAATTGGGGGTGACAGAACATGTGGAAGGAGACCCGTGTAAATTTGCCCTGTGGGTGGGACGCACACCCTCATCCGACAACAAGACTGTCCTCAAGGTACATTACATAATTGTATTATTAATAAATTACTTTTATTAGAGTGGTAAGTATTCATAAACATGTTCCATGTTTTTAATGTGCATGACTATGTCTGTGTCAGGCGTCCAGTATTGAGGTGAAGCAAGAATGGATTAAAAACATCCGAGAGGTCATTCAGGAGAGAATCATTCACCTGAAGGGGGCGCTAAAGGAACCGATCCATGCTCCCAAAACCCCAGCCAAACCCCGCAACAACAGCAAGAGGTCAGACACATTGTACCATTGCATACTCTATTCCAGTCCTAAAAATGAAACGCTGAATTAATTCATAATGCAATCATAATCTCAGCTCTCAAAATGCTGCTGCAGTTGTAAACGTTGCTATTTGTAGATTCTGCTTTGTTTGTTGCGATCAAATCATTTGTATGTCTCTTTGGATGCAGGCATCTGCTAAATGTAAATCTGTAGAAAGAATGAGACAAAACACTACATTCATGAATATTCATACCCATTTATGCATGACAATGCAGGAGGCTTATGCTCATGTATAAACATTTGCCATCTTGTCTCTCCTCATGCAAGCTCCATTCGCTTGTTAAAATGTGTACATATGGGAATAAGTATTCGCCAAAACGTCAAATAGTTATGACTCATTCACTTTACACATTCACTTTTTTGTGTTGTTTATCTAAACTATTCACCTGGCTCACCTGTTATCCAGCAAGAACAAGGACTGACTGTATCTAATGAATATTGTTATTTGTTTGAATTTATTCATTTTGACATTTGTGCTGAATAAAGTATCCAGCTTCAGGCACATCCCAAATCGGGACTTTTATTTGTGTGTTTGGCTGCAGGGAGGCTGGTGAGGATGCTGACAGTCAAGGAGATGGCAGCAGTCAGCAGGACACCATCTCCATCGCATCCAGAACCTCTCAGAACACTGTAGACAGTGACAAGGTACGATGCACAGATCTGACCTCTGTAGCTGCTTTCTCTCTGCGGCACTTACCTCAGTTGCACTGTACTCAATAAACCCTTCATTAGTGGATTTACTGAGCTGCGGCATCAAAGGTGGCACACAGGAAAATAAAAAAGACCATCAGGTGCTAAAGGACTCATGCTAACTAGCCAAGCTAACTGTGACGAGAGGGGCGGGGCCGAGAGCCGTGGGAACGGAGCGAGGCCGGTGGAGTAAATGCTAATGCACGACACCTGCGCCACTCACCGGTCTCGAGTCCCACGGAGGAGCTCCGGAAGTATAAAAGGAGGAGTGACGACAGTGTTGGACGAGAGAGGACCAGGCCTGGACTTTATTTTGTGTTTTGGTTCTGTTTTTGCGCGACAGTCATCCGCGAGGGGCTGTTGCACTATTTTGTGTTTATTTTATTATTAAAGTTTCCTTTGAATGTTTGCCGATTCCCGCCTCCTTCTTCCCGTGACTACGAACTTTGTTACATTGGACAAAATATGGGACTCGAGACCGGTGAGTGGTGCAGGTGTCGCTCATTATCAATTACTCCGCCGGCCTTGCTCCATTCCCACGGCTCTCGGCCCCGCCCCCACTCGTCACACTAACAAATCAATTAGATATTCTGCAGAGACATATTTGCATATTGTGCACATTATACTGTATATAAACCATGGTTAATTTCTGTGAGGGGTATGGTTTTATGTTTACGTGGCGCGATGCAACGCAACGCATAAAAAAAACAGTATAAGTCATTATAATCAGTTATTATGTCCCCACTGGATGAAACAAATGCCTCGTTTGTAATAGGTTTTATTGTTTTTGTCTCGTCGCACCAGGCATGACAGTGTGTTAAGGGGCATAACATTTCCGTCACACGCTTGAGGTATTCGGCCAATCACAATGCACTGGATAGCTGGCCAATCAGAGCACACCTCGCTTTTCAGACCGATGAGCTTTGTTAAAATCGGAGCGTTTCAGAAAGTCGGGGCATAGAGGAGAAACAATAACGTACAGTATGTGGAAAATAATGTGTTTTTTGAACCTTAAACCGCATAAACACATTTCATTACACCAAATACACAAAATAATGTTATTTTTTAGCAACGTCATATGACCCCTTTAAACTACCCACCTAAATTCAGAAGTTCCAAACTAATTCGGAACTCCATACTACTATTAGAAAGATACAAAAAGAGTAAGGGTATGTTTACACAACAATGACTGTACAAAAAATTGAAACGTTTTTCCTTTGCATTTTTGAAAAGATTCACGTACAGATAACAATGTCTGAACACGTAATATGTATGCGAATGAAATCACAGTTTTTGTAGTTTACACAGAGATGATAGTGTTAATGTCATTTTTAAAAAGTTGTGCTTTGAAACCCGTTTTTTTTTTTTTCAAAAGTTTGCATTTTCAGGCCACCAAAACGTTGTTGTCATGTAAACAATAGCCAAAATGCATGGAAAGTTTTCCGTTTTTAGTTCCGTTTTAGTAGTTCATGTAAACATCACCAAAGAGTAGTGTGCTAGTATGCAGATCCAAAGCATATCTTTCCAGACCCAAACTCCAGACTCCACCCCCTGAAGGGTCAGGTGATCAGTGATTGACAGGTGTATGTCACACAGGGTTTCCCTGCTTTAGTTATGGAGCAGGGGCTGTCATGCTCCAGCACAGAGGATGAGCACAGAGGATGAGCACAGCGGTCGTGAGCAGTAAACAGATGTTAAACAGTCATGTTCAGCCATGAAAAGCCTCTTCAAACTGTGTGCTGAATTCAGCCCTCATAGGAGCTATGAGGCGCCCTATCAAATCAAAGTAAGACACACTAAACACGTGTCCTCCAAACAGCACTTGTTTGTGCTGGTGTTTTCAGGCACTTTCATAATAGCTTGTTGTGTTTTTTGAGTTGTGCGTGTTTGTGTTGTGAGGTTTGTTCGTTTTGGTGATGACCACATCACTGTGACTTGCTTTTTGCTCAGAGGAGAACATGTCTGAGTGAGTGTGGTCCAACTCTTGACTCTGTTTGGAGGAGTATCATTTCCTTCTCCAGTTTCCTCTGAGGGCAGAAGATCCTGGTAGGATCTGAATATACTCTGTGTAGTGCACTTACTCTGTTTGAATTCTACACAACTAAATGTTGACTGTTCTCTGGGTTTTTGTGTTGTTTTGTAAAAGAGGAAGCAGCAGAATATATATATAAATGCTGAGAACTCCACTTACCGGCAGCCGCGGACGTTATGAAGGCATCCTGGTAGTGCGCTACATTAAAGGTGTCTGAACATGACGTCCCGGATGAGATCGTGACGTCAGGTGAAAGGTCATCATCATGTGGATAATTTTATTTACGGCGAAATTATAATTCATTAATTTTACTAATAGTTAGATTGGGCAGGCCTTCACAAAATGGCGTTTAATTACAAAAAAATAAAAAATTGCCTTGACAAAAGGGCACTTTGGGCATTAAGGGGAAAAGGGGCAGGTGCTCAGGCACCCACCGCACCCCTCTCTGCACGTGCCTGCACACACTGCGTGAGCACTTAGACACTGCATGTCTGTTTCTGCCTGTTTGTTGTCTTTTTACAAGGGTTACTGTGTCTGTTGGTCTTGTAGTGTAGGGTTCAGCCTGTTGTGTATTTGTAAATTATTTTGTCCAGACAATTAAGATGTTCAAAGCATTCATATGCTGATCCATGATGTCTTCTGTGATGTCACATGTGCATGCTGCTATCACAGGGTCACCTTTTAAAGGTGAACAATGACCACACAGGTTTCCTGAACGCTCCTGTGCAGTATTGAGCCAAAGTCAGTTCTCTGGCTAATGAGAGCTAAGGACACAGAGTGTATGTGTGTGTCTGTGTGTGTGTGTCTGTGTGTCTGTCTGTGTATCTGTGTATCTCTGTGTGTGTGTGTGTGTGTGTGTGTGTATCTGTGTGTGTGTGTGTGTCTGTGTCTGTGTCTGTGTCTGTGTCTGAGTCTGAGTCTGTGTCTGTGTCCGTCTCTGTGTTGTGTCTGTGTCTCTGTGTCTGAGTCTGTGTCTGTGTCTGTCTGTCTCTGTTGTCTGTGTCTGTCTCTGTGTCTGTGTCTGTCTCTGTGTCTGTCTCTGTGTCTGTCTCTGTGTCTGTGTCCGCGAGTGCTTCTGTGTCTGTGGAATAAGAGTTTCCTTCATTCACTCACAACAGCTCAGGATCTGTTTATTACTGTACGTTGTGGAAATCACATTCATTATACTTCATAATGATGCTTTTATTCGAACAGCTCAGTGCTGAATGCATGTCACAAGACCATCATACGGCATTAGATATTTCTTGCTGGATTCATCTGAAGATAAAACCGTATTCAGATTTTTCATTAAAATATGCAGTTTTCCCCCTTTGGCTAAAGAATTATTTCAAAAGCCAATGTGAGTTGTGACAGATGTCTTTGATTTAAATCACTCGCAACAGCAAGAGTCACACAGTCATTCTTACATTGAGATAGAAACCATATGCTATCGGTTTCAAGGTATTCACATACTAACTGTTCATGTCAGATTAGTTTGTACGGTATGTACTACTGTATGTGACAGGACCTGAACAGGGTGCAGGATTGTTTTGCACGCAAATGTATGGCTCGTTTTCCACCGAGCAGTAGAGTACAGTGCGGTACGCAATTATTTCCATTTCCTTTCTCAGAAGATGTGAATGGTGCCAAAATAGCGAACTGTACCACTTTGTTGGGACCCTTCCGTTGGGGTACCTAGCACAGTAGTCCGGTACCTAAAGGGTGGAGCTAGACTCACTGCAGAACTTTGATTGGTTGACAGAGAATCGTCACTTGCACGTGCTACAAGGGGAGCGACAACACAAGGGTTGCTGCTCATACGTGTTGGGTTTGTTTACATCAGAATGTGCAAACACAAGAAATATAACAGTGTAGTTTAGAATTTAATATTTTCACACCCTTACACACAGATAATATCACGCATTCTTCTTCGCACAAGAATGACGTCGATCGCTACTTTCCGGCAGACACCACGCCTATCAAGTGAGGGTACTGTTGACGATGGAAATGCAAGCCGGATCAGGGTGTTCAGTCCCGAATCGCACTGTACCAAAATACTGTGTACCAAAATACTTTATACTAAAATACTGTATACAAAATGCAAAATTTGCACTGTCCCGAATACCACTCGGTGGAAACGAGCCTTTAAATGTTTCCGAAAGTTGTCGTCACAATGGTTAAAGTACACCCAATATGAAAAATCAACAAAATCTAAAAATCAACTAAACCATTATACTTGCAATAATTATTGCAGAAAGCACAAATTTTATACTCAAAATGAGCCTTAAATGCAATGTGTAAAATTAATGTATACACTAAATTCATAGTTTGTGAACTTCAAGACATTTAATAGAATTAGAAAATGATTAAAAAAATTAAATAAAGTTAGTTTATTTATTTATTTATTCACACACGTGAGACACAACCAAAGGTGTTCACTAATGAGAAGAGCAGCATTACTGAGCCTTTAACCTCTACTGAACGCTGAACTCAGCCAATCAGAGACGCTTCAGAAAGAGAGACAGAGGGAGGGAGGGAGAAGAGAGAGAGAGAGAGAGAGCGAGAGAGAGAGAGAAAGCAAGGGCAGATATAGTCGTGGAAAGAGGACAGATAAGTCGTCATGCCAAAGTGGATGAGTTTTAAACTTTTCAAAGAGAGCAGTCGTGTAAGTGAGCTTCATCTGATCGTTTCTATTTCTTGCTTGACTCTATAATCCAAGTGTAGTATAATGGTCTCTGTGTGTGTGTGTGTGTGTGAGAGAGAGAGACAGAGGATATTAGGACTTTACTGACAGAGTATGAGCCGGTTTTCTGTGATCACACTGGTGTGGAGACAAGTTAAGTGCTCTGCTGTGAGACTGAAAACTGTTTTTTGCATGTGTTATTTCCTGTTATTTGTTGTAAGTTGTAATAATTTAAAATGCTACATGTGAAATGAGTTTTACTAAAGCAGAACAGCTGTCTCTCAGATAGTAGTTATTATAATGTGTGTGTGTGTGTGTAACCCTAACCCTATGTTAAAATGAGGTTGATATCAGTGGCATGAAGTGGATTATTAACACAGTCGACTCACACTGACAAACACACACTCTTTTTTTACTATCATGTTTAAAGTGATAGTTCACCCAGAAATGAAAATTCTGTCATTATTTACTCTCCCTCATGTCTTTCCCAACACATTTGAAACCATTTGGGTTTCTGTAGAGCGCAAAAGGAGATGTTTTGAAGAATGTTCCTGATGATCTTTTCCAAAAATGGAAAAAGCAGACAGTAGGAAGGAACAGATGATTGGTAATACAACAGATTTGTCTGAGGAACAAATTGAAATTTCAGCCTTTATTTCATGAAAATCTCAGCCGTAGCTTTCAAATATTAATCACGTTAAATGCATTCAAATATCTGTACAAAATATGTATATTTGTAAATATATTTCAAAATAATCGGCAAGAAATGTATTTGCTAAAATATTATTTTTTTTGGAAAATATATTTTACAAAAATAATATATATTTTTAAAAACATTTAATATATTTGATATACATTTTGTCCTCCATAAATTTCAATCCAAGAAAATGCATTCACATATGTAACATTTGAACAAAAATTAACATGTACTTATCACATTTGAAGAAAATCAGCAAGAAACATACCTTAGAATGTTATAAAAAGACAATATTACAATATATTAAAAATGTAAATATTATTATTACGTCGTTATTAATCTAGTTTTGATCTCTAGTAGGCTATAAGGCTATTACATTTAGCCTCAATGTTAAAGTTACTGTAAGATTGGAAATGTATTTTATTGATGCATTTTGAAAAATATTTTGGTATATGAAGATTGAAACTAAATGTATTTACAGTTTCAAAAATATTTTCAATGAGCTTCACTGTTTACAACACATATTTAGCATATATTTAAAATATATTTCGTATGTATGTATGTATGTATTTATTTATTTATTTGCTTGCTGTATGGGATATGATTGGTTCTCTCATGTCTCATAACATAAAATTATGATGTATGTGAATATCTTCTATTTATGAGTTCTGGATATCACTGGGTCTGATATTTGTGTCGCTTCACAAGGAATCATTTGCAATTGTGATATTGTAAATGGAGATGAATCTCGATGGAAAGCAGTGTTCGGACAGCCTAGATAATTGTCCATTGTATCTGCTGTATGTGTCGAAGTGGCTCGTCTACCTGCGATCCTCAGCGTGAGAACACACAGGCTCTTAATACTGTTTAGAGAGTCCTCTGATCTCCGTGATAAAGGCTTGCAATCTGCGAGACCTTTCACATCAAGCCCATGTGACCTTTATGTCCTTTCTGACGCGTGATCTTCTCCTTCTGAGACCCCAAATCACCTAGCAACCCACCTTTCCTCTCGATCACTACGGAGACCTGATACTCTGCCAAGCAGATGGTGCGGACGAGGAAGCAGACTGAACACATCTGCTGAACACCGACCAGAACTAGATGCTCATTGACATTTAAAAACAAAAAAAAACTCCCTACATAAAGCTTGTTGCATGTGCTTAGTAAAGTCCAGTGCTTAACTTGTTTCCACCACCAGAAAATAAATAAATAAAAAAAGGTAATTGTTTTTTTTTTTTTTGTAATTCTGAGATATTTTCTTGCAATTCCGATTTTATATCCCAAATTCTGAAAGTCTGAATTGAATATAAACTCGTCATTGCAAGAAAAAGTATTGTGAGATAAAAAGTGGCAATTACCTTTTTACAGACTTCCATATTTAACAGTAGAGTTTTTCAATGCCATTTAATTTCTGTAAAATCTTCATTCAGACAGTTTAAAACTTTCTGAAATATCTCTGTAGAAAGAGCTCTGTATCTCTGAGAAATATACTTTCAGAACCCAGAACAGTGAAATAGCAGTGTAGTAGCAGTTCTTTTCTTTTCTTTTCTTTTCTTTTCTTTTCTTTTCTTTTCTTTTCTCTTTTCTTTTCTTTTCTTTTCTTTTCTTCTTTTTTATTATTTTTATTTTATTTTATATTATTTCCCATTTTTTATTCTATTACTTCCTTTTCTTTCTTTACTTTTCTTTTTGTTTTTTCGTTTCTTTTCATGTTTTCTTTTCTTTTCTTTTCTTTTATTATTTCTATTTATATGTTATATTATTTTCCCCATTTTTTATTTTATTACTTTTCTTAATTTAATTTAATTTTTGTTTTTCTTTTCTTTTTGTTTCTTTTCTTTTCGTTTTCTTTTTCTTTCTTTTCTTTTCTTTTATTATTTCTATTTTCTTTTATATTATTTTCCCCATTTTTGATTTTATTACTTCCTTTTCTTTATTTAATTTTATTTTTGTTTTTTATTTTCCTTTCTTTTCTTTTCTTTCCATGTTTTCTTTTCTTTTATTATTTTTATTTTATTTTATATTATTTTTCCCTTTTTTATTTTGTTACTTCCTTTTCTTTATTTACTTTTATTTTTGTTTTTTCTTTTCTTTTCTTTTCTTTTCTTTTCTTTTCATGTTTCTTTTCTTTTATTATTTCTATTTTATTTTATATTATTTTTCCCATTTTTTCTTTTATTATTTCTTTTTCTTTATTTAATTAAAGTTTTGTTTTTTCTTTTCCTGTCTTTTCTTTTATTTTATTATTTCTATTTTATTTTTTATTATTTTTCCCATTTTTTTATTTTGTTACTTCCTTTTCTTTATTTAATTTAATTTTTGTTTTTTGTTTGCATTTCTTTTCTTTTCTTTTCTTTTATTATTTCTATTTCTATTTTATATTATTTTTCCCATTTTTTATTTTATTACTTCCTTTTCTTTATTTACTTTTATTTTTGTTTTTTCTTTTCTTTTCTTTTCTTTTCTTTTCTTTTCTTTTCATGTTTCTTTTCTTTTATTATTTCTATTTTATTTTATATTATTTTTCCCATTTTTTCTTTTATTATTTCTTTTTCTTTATTTAATTAAAGTTTTGTTTTTTCTTTTCCTGTCTTTTCTTTTATTTTATTATTTCTATTTTATTTTTTATTATTTTTCCCATTTTTGTATTTTGTTACTTCCTTTTCTTTATTTAATTTAATTTTTGTTTTTTGTTTTCATTTCTTTTCTTTTCTTTTCTTTTATTATTTCTATTTCTATTTTATATTATTTTTCCCATTTTTTATTTTATTACTTCCTTTTCTTTATTTATTTGATTTTTTGATTTTTGTTTTCATCTCTTTTCTTTTCTTTTCTTTTATTATTTCTATTTCTATTTTATATTATTTTTCCCATTTTTTATTTTATTACTTCCTTTTCTTTATTTAATTTTATTTTAGTTTTTTATTTTATTTTATTTTCATGTTTCTTTTCTTTTATTATTTCTATTTTATTTTATATTATTTTTCCCATTTTTTATTTTATTGCTTCCTTTTCTTTATTTAATTTAATTTTTGTTTTTCTTTTCCTTTCTTTTCTTTTCTTTCCATGTTTTCTTTTCTTTTATTATTTCTATTTTCTTTTATATTATGTTTCCCATTTTTTTTTTATTACTTCCTTTTCTTTTTCTTTTTCTTTTCTTTTCATGTTATTTTGTTATTTTTTACATTATTTCATTATTTTATTTTATATTATTTACTTGTCTGTTCAGGTTGACTTGTCCTTTCATCTCTTAACATCCATCCGGTTTAAATAAGTTAGCATTAATAAACAGGTAAAGCATTTTATGTATGTCTTAGTTTAAGTCTTTGCAGTACAGCCCTGCTAAAATCGCTTTTTGAATGAATCATCTTAAATTGTGGTTAGGATCACTGTTCTGGACTGTTCTTATTGCACTGACTCTGCTGTCTAGTTCTGTAATCTTCACACAGTCTGGAGGAAAATGAACGTTTAATTAAACATTGACCAATGACCTGCTGTGACTCTGAGAACTGTCATCTGGGAACATTTTGGACATGTACTCGTTCTGCTGCTTTGGGTCTGAGCGCTGGCTTTGGATTGTGTTGAGCGTGTTTGTGTGGTGTATTGTTGAGCAATATCTATCAGCAGGAGTTGAGTTTGATTAAACAGCACCTGCTCGCTCTCATTCTCATTCAGCAGGCTGCCTTGTGATGCCGGCATGACGTCATGTCCTAGTTTTTAATTTGTCTTGTGAAAGTTTGTGGACCTGACTGGTTTATTGTTGACACAGGTGTCCTAACAAAGCAATCACAGCTCTAGTTCATCACATGAGCATGGTTTTCATGATGCTTTGTATGATGTGTTTGTTTAAATGACACTTGTTTTAATAATGCTCTATATACGGTTTTATTTATCTGCTTGATTTAATTATACTTTCTTCACAATATGACTATGACATTTCACCGCACTCTCAAGCTAAATAGGATTAGTTTAGTCATGTTTTGCTTCTCTTATAAGAAGTGAATCATGTATTATTTTGCATGTTCTACTCTTTTGGCTGTTCTGTCTGTGACGCTGTGACTCTGTTACATGTGTCAGGAGTCTGTCATTACATAACCAGCACAGTCTCACAGCGCATGCATCAAGAGCGGCCTCAGTTATTACGCTTATATAATTATTCACCTGTAATCATATGGTTCATAGTTCATACTAGTGACTTGTCAGAAAGTGGCACTTCTAATCAATATAAGTAATATAACATGATCAATAATTAGACACACATAATAGTTTAGAGTCTTAACAGTCTCTGCATATCATGTAAATACATGAATGTCAGTTGGTCCATCCAGAACAAAAAGTACTTGATTTGATTTGGACTCATTTCTGACCATCTAGTTATAGTTAACTAAAACTAAAACCATAAAAAAAAAAAAAAATTCTAAATATACTGAAATAAAACATAACTATAAATATATATTTAATTTAACAATGTACTAAAATTACTAAAACTAATACTGTATATATATATATATATGTATATGTATATATGTATATGTATATGTATATGTATATGTATATGTATATGTATATGTATATGTATATGTATATGTATATGTATATGTATATGTATATGTATATGTATATGTATATATATATATATATATATATATACATATATGTATTTTTAAATAAGAATATTAACAAAAACACACAATAAAATAACTAAATCTTTACCTAAAATTCAAATACAATATATAAACAAAAAGCAGAATATTAATTAAAACTGATATATCAGAGATACTAAAATAACACTTACTGACTGATCTGTCGTGAAAATCTGAATTTTATTTTATGTGTTGTATTTTATTCAAAGGTGAGACCTCATGAGACCTAATAGAGTTCTCAATTCAGTTTAGTTTAATTTTGTTTCATATGTTTCTCCTAAAACATAAAATAGACACAAATGAGACAACTGGTGATGATTGGGTTCATACTCAGATCCTGTGATTGCAGGAAAATCTGAGTATGTTGGCAAATCTGAATGCAAAAACGTCTCAGGTTGCTTATGTAACCATGGTTCCCTGAGTAGGGAACGAGACACTGCGTCCTCTAGGGGTCGCTATGGGGAGCACCTCGTCGTGACCCGTGTCTGAAGCATACATTGAAAAAACACCAACAACACGTTGGCCGGCGACAGCCCATGACATCACTAC